GGAAGTCAACAACGAAAATGGCGCAATTAGAGGATGTAGGCCCAATTACCTGAGACGGACGTGTGGCCGTGACTATAAGTAATCCCGCAAGGCTCTGTACACCGGCGCCAATTCGACACATCTTTTGACTGAATTCCCGTCCGTGGACCAGGCTTCAATCCACTCCCTGTTCGTCTTGTTTCCGACGTGGGAAAGTACCTTGACGGCCGCGAAGTTGAGCTCATGGCCTGTTTCATAGATGTGAGCTGCAACTTGTGATACTTCGTCGCCTCGTCGTGCGGCCAACTTGCGTTCATGTATGCACGATCCGAGCTTCATTAAGCTTGGCCTGTGTTGCTACAAGGACAGCTTATGAATGGGATGCGATACACTACGCCAGATTGTTCATTCGGCATAAGCAGGTCTTTTATTTTCATCACCCTGCTGCGCATGGTAGCCTTGGGTCTGTGTGCGATTCCAAAACCTAGTTCCGCAGCGATGCGCCCAGTCGCTTCTGAGGCGTTCTTGATGTATGGCAGAACCTGCCATATCCTCGGTGGTTCTTCCGTTTGGGTCCTACGGGGCCGAATGCGCAGGCATCGGTTTATAAATGCTTTTGGATAACCGTTCCGCATTAAGTGGTCGCGGAGATATCGGGCCTCATGTACTTTTTCCTCCGGCCTATTGCAATGAGTCTGAATCCATTTAAAGAGCGTTTTTACAGAACTCCGTTTGTGATGGTTACTATGGAAACGGAGAGATTGTGTTGTGTTTGTTGTCTCCCGGTAAACCGTCGACTAGATTTCATCGTTGGGCGTCCTCTTGAAGAGGACATCTAGGAAAGGCAATTGCTGCTGTTTTTCTTCTTTCCTCGTAAATTGTATGTCAGTCAAGATTCCATTGAGCAAATTATGGAAGTCTTGTAGCATGCTCTTCTTGATGACTACAAAGATGTCGTCAACATAACGATGCCAAAAGACAGGCTTAGGTTGGGCGAAGGCGGTGCTTTCTCGCTCTTGCAGGACAAGCTTTGCCACTAAACGGGAATTGGGCAGCCAATCGGAGTACCTTTGATCTATTCATAGGTTTCTCCGGAAAATAATTTATTTGAAAGAATTCGAATAACCTTATGCTATGTTCATTTTTGAGTGGGCTTCGGCCCTCATTATATGCCTCTTCGAGTCTCTTGTGCAAGATTTCGTGCGCCAGATTTGGTTGTTTGAATACGAATAACGAAGTTACATCGAAAGAGAACATGATGACGTCCGACCGTGAAGATCTGCGAGGAATCGAGAAGCTGATTGAACTGAGGTAGTTGATTTGTGTGCACAGACTATACCTAGCCCCTCTTTTTTTGCTGTTTACTATCGCTAACGATGGACTCCTGTTAGAATTCGGAAGCTGAGGATAAGGAACAATGTGATCCGGTGCTCGAACATTCTTCTTCCTTACCCGCTCTAGTTTGTCTATATAAAAGTGGTTTGATAGGTATTTGTTGCACGATGCTGCAATTTCTCGATACGTATTTTGTGTTTTGCGAGGCGTGGCCGTCATTCCTGTACATCAATTCCTGGGTGAAGTCAAACGAAGGTGCGATATACTTTACCAAAGCGACGTTTTTCGAAAGCTCTTTTGATAGCGTGCAGTCTTCCCATGGCGTTGTATGCAACCTTGGCGCATTGCAACGATGGCTTCAAATTAGTGTTAAAACCCGCCGGAGTAGGCATAGCCCACCAAGCTCAGGCGAAATACGTTACCGTGTGATGCAGGCTCGATGCAGACTGCTCCTTACTGAAACCTCCGCAATTATCTGCAAGATAGAGTAGACGCCACAATTCACGCAAGATTTTGACATCGACAAAAATGGATACTGTCTCGCCAATCGGTATCGACTCAGGTTGTGGTACTGATTAGCTTGTAGTCTATTCTGAAGTTTATTCCGCCATGATAGGTTGCGGGCTTTTTAACGAGCTTCGTTTTGACTACCAGCAAAAAGAATATATTGTAAAAACTGGCTATGTATGCATTTTATCATTGATTTTGACTGTCTTTATAAATTCAATTATATTTAACGGAAAACATGCGCGATATATTGTTTCTGGTACACCTTTGATAGAAATTTACGCCTTCTTTAAATATTATACTCAAAGAAAGTGTAGCTTTCGGTTATAAAAAGTTGCTAATTATGACCTTTTTACAATTGTGAGGTTTTTATTCATAATGCATCGTATCCGCCAATTTATTAATGCTGCCTATACTGCGTAAAATAGGTTCTACATCTATTTCAATATTTTCTGACAATTATGTGATTTCTTCCTCAAAGAGTAGGCAAAAACGTACTTTTACTTAAACAGGATGTACACAGAGCAGTGTTTAAACTTTGAATTCCAGTGTAGCAGTAACTAGTCTAAACATTTTTTCGGCAATTAAGCAACTTTTTTAAAACCAAAAGCTACACTTTCTTTCAGTATACAATTGAAAGAAGGCGTAATTTGCTATCAAACAAGTACAAAAAATAATTTTTTCTTGCATGTTTGCCGTAAAATATATTTGAATTTATAAAGGCAGTCAAAATCAATGATAAAAAGGCCTACTACTTACCTAGCCAGTTTTTACAAAAGATACTTTTTGCCGGTAGTCAGAACGAAGCTCGCTAAAAAGCCCGCAACCTATCATGACGGAATTAACTTCAGAATAGACTACATGATAATCAGTATCACAACCTTAGTCGATACCGATTAGCGAAAGAGTATCAATTGTTCACCTATGTCAAAATATTGCGGGAATTGTGGCGTCTGCTGTACCTTGCAACGATGGGGACACCAATAACGTTGAAAAAAACGGGGCAAAAATTGCAGACCCGCCTCTAGGAACACCAACTGGCGGCTCGGAGACTATAACCAAACTGTTATCTTGCATAACATACCGGAGAGACCGGCAAAACTTCGATATTCAAGGAGTGACCACGGTAGGCCGATTAACTTCAAAAGCAAACAGACTGAAGCTTGATGCATGGTTCTTGGATGCCAAATCCGTCGGTAGGCATTCGGACCTTCCCGCGGCCTACCAGGTCCTTTGCCATTTCGTGAGTAAAGGGCAGGACAAGATTACACCGAACTTAGGAATTGCATGTGAAGAAGACCTGTCAGAAAACCGCCGGAAGATAAAGCAGGATAAACAGCATCTTCTACAACGGAGATGAAACGCAAGAGGAACTACCATCAAGCTAGGTAAATATTCGCACAAGGTGCGGTGCAACGAGTGGAAAAAATTCGATCAGCTCACGACCGAAACCTACGGCTACAACTTCAAATTGTCGATCGATATAGTCAGTTTAAATTTGAAGACAGCGTACGTAGAAGAATTTAATGGCACCATAAATTTCGCGAGCGCTCATCAGCCGCTTCCACTCGCTGCATAGACAGAATAACGAATGATAAATTACAGAATTAAATTCAAACAGAAAAATTGATCCAAAACATCATGGTCACTTGAGTTAGCCAAGTAGGAAATTCAAACATTGTGGGCAGCAAAAACGCTGTAAAAAACGTCTAAGGCAAAAAAATCTAAGGCAAAAAATGGTGGGAAGGTGATGTGGGTAAATAGGGAGCAGGTGCTACCACGGCAGGGTTAGGTTCACCAAATGCTCCAGTTGTTTACATAGGTCAGGTTTAAACCGCCTTATGCATGCTGCCTCTAGGTAGCGCAAGATACGAGTTGTTCGTGCCCGAACAAGTACTCGGAAGGATGTTTTAGGGTCAACAGCATGACCCGTATCCAATAGGTGTTCAGTGACAGAAGAACGGAGAGTCCTATTCTCCTGTCTTAATAACCAACTCGACAAGTGCGCTTTTGCTCTGGCTGCCAATTGCCGTTGTGTTCGTCCGATGTACTTGCATTCGCAAGTGCATGTTTACGCTTTGACAAAAGACAGCCGGCCCAGCTGTCCGAAACGATAGCGTTCAAAGAAACTAACTCCGGTGAGTACGACATGATAGCTGATATGGCCACAGGTTGAAACATTCTGTTAGCAGCGAGCAAATAAATTAATTCCGGTGACCACAGCGTAATATATGATAGGGCCGTAGCTGCATCACTCTGTTAGCGCATGCAACGAGACAAGCGGCACGAAATGTCATACGCTAACGTTGACGATGTTGTTGCCCATTTATGGATATGCTACGATGATATTTAGTTGCGAAGTATCAGGCCACTCCAAGAGCCACAATTTCCGAAGTCTCTATTGTCACTCAAATTCTGTTAGATTAAGAACCGCAGTTATTAATAACCAAACACCTGCAGACAAGAAGTTAGTAAATAATTTCGCATTAAATACCTTGGGCAGTCAAATTAAAACACTAATGAAGAGCGATCATGTCTTCTAATTCTAGTCTCTGATTTATATTAATTTCGGAATTACAGTGCATAGCATATTCAAGTAGACTGGACGTAATATTTGAAGTTAAGGGGATGTGTTATTGCGTTCTATGATGCTGTCGCCCTTTCAAATGAAGGTATATAATTGTCATCTATCCTCTAGTAAACAAATGCCAGAGCTGGTCATGCATTGCTAGCGAATTATTTAGTAGTCCATGTTCTCTGACCCAATACCTCATTTGAAAACCAATTTAAAATTGTCTGCAAATAGTAGAAAGTTGACTGAAATTAATTCTGGTAGGGCATTGTAATAACTATGATCATAAACTTGAATATTAGGACAATGACTAGGGCCTTTAGCAAACGTTACAAAGGCACCTTTTTGCGAGAGAATTGAACTACAGGGAAGAAGCAACAGGTGATAATTATAGTAGCTGTAGTCTGAAGCGTATTGAGCTGACATTTTAAAATAAATTGGGATTATTGGAGAGCAACGTATGTGGGTGGTATCCATTGCGTGGAAGGCCATTACGTTGAGGAGAAATATAGCGCACAATTTTAAGGAATTCCAGTAAAATATGCAACGGAGGAAGCAGGAGGAATTATTTTGGTAAAATGCTAAACTAGAAAAATTTCTGACAAAACTCTTCAGTATATTGTAAACGCTGAAGATACAGCAAGCTTTGCAACGTTACTGAAATTGCTTATTACGCAACTCAGCCAATGATCACATTTAATTTTGCCAGAGATATTGCTGTGCATGCTAAATAGTAAAACATGAAATAGTGTGGTTTGTCTGTAAAGGAAAGGATGTGGGGTTGACCCAGTTTAACTTGAATCCAGAATAAGATGATCAAGTTAAGAGTCGAATTTCAGTGAATCTGTCATTGGTATAGTCGAAGGTTGGCTAACAGCACCTAGACAGCGATACCAGAGAAACGTTGCAGCTTTGTAGACATTGA